ACGTATGCCAATGGCCCACGTTCAGCTGGATCAAGTTTTTTGACATTTGAAGCTTCTGTTTCCCCAGTACATGCTTTATTACTTGTGTGGTAAAATCCGACAAGATGATCAGGTATGTGAATCATCAGATTTGCAGCCCTGTAGTCCTTGCAGTTCAGTAAATCGCACGATCTTGGTATCAGAGCAAAAAACGATTCTACAAGTTTGTTTTGGTTTTTCTTTTTACAAAAAGTTGCAAACAAAGGATACAAGGCATCGTATAAAGCTTTAGTTGCAGTTGCTGTCTTTATACCGTTGCTCATTTCGGTGCCATATAACTTCCCCTCAGTTATGTTGCTTTTAATCGCTTCAATTATCGAAGCAACCGTTTCGAGGGAAAAAGACTTCAAAAGCAATGACTCTTCGGCTGGAACTTGGCCATGTTTAGAGTTGATATGTCTGGTAAGACCGCCTTTCGATTCAGTTGCAAACTTTCTCGCATTTCTCGCACGGAAAAGATTTGATGCCTTCGATTTCAACCAAAGCATCATTGAATTCCTCTTCGATTTCTTCACCTTCGAGCTCTGCAATTGAAACAGTAAGATTTAACAGATATAAATCCGTCTCACTGTCTTCAAATTCATCGGATTCATCAACCTCGACTGAAGTAATCGAACTGCTAGGTTCGTCTTGTGGTTCGCCCGCTTCGAACGCAACACTCATTGCACTGTCTTCATCGTCGGTATTTTGCTCTTCAGCCGTAGAAATTTCTGCAGCAACACCCTGAAAATCTTTGTCGACATCCATACAATCCTTATTAGTTGGTAAACTATCCTAAGCAGACGACAAACTCTAACAATAGATCGATATGTTATATGTAATTTGATCTATTTGTTATCGCTCCTGTCATCACGCTGAGAAAATGCAGGCACCGGACCACGTGACCATATTTTTATTGGCTCCAGACATATTCTCGCGAGCCCTTTGAAGTTTGCCGGCTAGCCTAACCATTTCCCTCGATTAACTGTGATGGAACGTATTCCATTGTACTCTTGGGAAATGGGATTTTCTATTCAATATCACGTGACCATAAACAGCCAACTAAACGATCAGAATTCAATAAGGTATTATAGTACTTATACTGTGGATTTAGTGATGCAATCTCAAATTTCACAGTACAGTATGAATTTTACTATTTTTTCCAGTGATAAAAACAGTTGAAGTTGTCATTTTAGATTTTAATAACATCAAGAAAAGCTACGAAGCAAATTTTGATTGTGAGTTTATTTAAAAATAGGTACGCAGTGCGTACATGTTGCATGCCTTCTGAAACATATGATGCGCTATAGCGCTTATAACCTTTAGTGTAACTAGCGTGAAACTTAAAATATTGATTCAATAAGTATAATATCAATATATTTATTGAAAAATAGCTATTATGTCAAAGTACGAAAACTTAAGATTCTCGCATGAATAGGCAATGTTTTTATGAGCGACCGTTCATCGTTAGTTGCAAGTGACAGTAATAACGAGTTCAAGGTGGGTCAAGGTTTTATCGAAAGCGATTGACTGTTAGATTTCCTTTAGTGCTTTACAAATTTGTAACTAAATAACGTTATTTCCTATAGATTTAACTTTATTGTAACTTTTTAAAGGTATAAAAAACCCGTGGAAACGGTGAATTAATTTACTATAATAAATTGAAAATGATTATTAAACTATGATTGAAATTGTCGAAGTAGAAAAAGCATAAAGGTAGTAGTTAGCTAATATGACCTGTATGGTCGTTTGAGTGATTGAAATGAGTTAATTTACACTATATTGAATGTCATGTTGAATCTTATGCGTACTTCACAATGGTTGCTATTTCGTTGTATTAAATTTCAATGGTATTTATATTTCATGTTATTTATAAAATGTGCTGTAGCTGAAGCTTTACACAGAATATAATCAGTTCGAGCACAATGGCTCCGTTTCAGTTTGAGTGTATGAAAATCGTGTATTTTGATAGTGTGAGCTTTGAGACTTTCTCGATATGCAGCCAACAAATCTCTTGGCTGTGTTCGCCGCTCTGTGAGTAACATTAATGACGTTAACGTTCGCCGTACTCTATACCTTGCCATTGTTCGTCCACATCTCGGGTATGCCACTCAGGTTTGGTCCCCACAATCAATTGACCTTATCAGACGTGTCGAAAGGGTCCAGCGTCGTGCTACTAAAGTCATCCTAAACCTACCTTTTAAAACTGATATAACCTATAAACAACGTTTGAACTCACTCCATCTACTTCCTATCTCCTACTGGCATGAATTCCTTGATCTGGTATTTTTCTTCAAAATTGTTCACAATATTACCACCATGAACTCTGAAGTCAAGCCAACTCAACATATTCCCACAAGACCAACCCGAAATACTTCCGATCCTAGTCTACTCTACTTTCATCCTAAAAGATGTAAAACCATAACTTTTCAACGATCATTCTTCTCACGCACGTGCAGAGTTTGGAACAACCTACCTGACGAAATGCGCCGCATGGATACATCTTTATTACGCTTTAGAAGTTTGCTTAAAGAACATTATTTGACGGCATCTCAAACAATTTTCAATTCGGATGATCCAAGGACATGGAAATCTGTGTGTCTGAAGTGCAATTCAGCACGCATACTTAGGATCTCCACGTCATGTTGTAGTTAGTGCATGTATTCTCTCACTTATCGGGACCACAGTAATTGGCTTCACACGCTGTTGTGGGCACCCGGCCACGAAGTATTCATTGACTAGTTGTTTTCTGTCTTGTTTAGTTCTTAAGTGTGTGTGTATATATATGTCTCTATTGTGGCAAAATAAATAAATAAATAAATATGTTTAAAATATGATATGATAAATATGATATGAAATAGGGTAAAAACACATGACAGCAATATAACTGAAAAAGCTGTAACTTTAAAACGTATAAAAGCTACTTAGAGTAAGAAAAATATATAAAAGATCTTAAGATTATAAATTCATATATATAAATTATACAATTTACTGATCACAATAATACAAGTTCAAAGCGCGATATATACCCTAATATGATTCTAAGAAATAGACTTCGTACGTCTTAATATCCTTTGGGTATTATTCCATATTTTAATGCTGCTGACAGTTCCAGATTTTCCTCCCTCAGTTGCATATAGCCTAATTATATAGGCAGACATTCCAACCTCCGAGTCTTTAAAACCGGGACACTTCCCAATTTTCCCATTTTACTTAAATAAACGCCTCCTTCGAATAAATGCCGCGCTTTTCTCATTCATGCGGTCTCTATTTGGGTTAGTGTTAAAATTGGCTGAGTTGAGTTTGAATTAAACAATAAATTGTTAAATTCACAGTGGATGCCACAAAAACTAGTTTTATTACACTAACGTTGAAACCCATAAGTATAACATAACATTTTCTCAAGAAGCTTTAATTTCATTGAAGTACTGTACTTGCGAAATTGTTTCGTTTTACTACTGGTCTTTTGAACTGTGATGACCCTCTCCGTGACCTCTCCTATTCAAGAGCCCGCGATTATTGCACCCGCTTCTCTTACGCTGCTTTACTTCATGTAGCCCTGGCAAAACGAATAGGAATTGAAAGCGAACGCTAAATTGTGAAAACAACGTATGTCACGAGATTTAAAACAATCGACGACAAACTCGGCAATTGTTTGGGGCAACTAGAAGCTGCCATTTCATTAATATGTATTGAACCAAACGAATTTCTTTAAAATTTATCGCATGAGCCTTATTTAAAGAATACAACTATTAAAATACTACAGAAACCGGGACAATAAGAAGAAAACCGGGACACCGGGACAACATAGTCCAAACCGGGACAGTCCCGGGTAAACCGGGACGGTTGGAATGTTTGTATAGGACACACTAAATTATATTCGCCATGACGAGTTTGTCTACCATTAATTTCATTGTTTGTTTTAACTCTTAAATGACAGCCGGTATCGCATTGCAATATACATTTAATGTTTCTAATGTAAATATCTTTTCGCGTGTTTACCCCTTTAAACGAAATCCACCATTGACATCCTCACCAATTAACCTTTCGAACGGGGGGTCAGATGCCCTCAAAACATTACACAAACCACACAAACCGAAGCAATCATATATTTACTCACTGCTTGGCCAAACATTCTGTATTTCATATTGAGAAAAAGCTGAATATCTTCTAAACTTTTCGTTACATTCTGATCGGCTATATGGGTAAAATACTCCTTGTATTCAAGCGCTTTCGTGTAGAAAGTTTCGTTTGGATACGACGAGTAGAAATATTTATTTTGAATTTTTCAAGATATCGGGTTTTACTCGCACGCGATTGTATTGCGTAATACTTGCATGCTCCTTCAGCCGGGATGACGTCAAACTCACGCGTATAGGTGCACTTTGACCTTTAGAATAGATTGCTGTCATTTCCAGAGTCATACGATACAAACGTCGCATTGTTTGACAATTCGTGTATCTAAGGGCAATTCGAGTTTCGAGACCCTGAAAAACGAAAATCAGTCGTCGAACTCGTGTTTTTGTTTTTCAATTTCGAAAAATATTCTAGAAAACAAAACAGGACAAATCATAAATTGATGAAAGGGCCAACAGTTTTCCAAACGCTTAAAAAACGAAAAACCATCTTCAATTTTTACTTTGAATTCTTTGAACAACAAAAACGAATTTTGAAACAAATTCCGTTTTTCGTTTTTCGTTTTTGGCAATCAGAAAACCTTGTTCGGAAATTGTTCGTGTGACGAACACGTGGTTCCCGCGCTTTTGTTAAACTCAAGAAGATGGAGGAAGAAAACTTAAATTTTGTTTACGGAGAAGGCGAAGAAAGAGTGCGAAGAAGGTTGAAGAAAGGGCAAGTGAACGCGGAAAGGCTGGCACAAATGTTTGGGGTATGTTTTACTTAAAATATAAGAGAGATTTTACTAAAATTAATGAGAAATTTCTAGTTTTATAATGGCTCGAACAGTAGCAGCAAAAACTGCCAAAAAGCCTATTATCAACTTCAACTTTCGAGTAAGTTGATTAAATTTTTTTTCAATATAGTTCGTATCTTTTGTCCTTTCAATATTTTCCCTGCTAAGCTCACCCACTCATCAATAAATACTATTTAGGCAATGGGCTATTCCATTTGTAATACTAAAATTTATGTTAAAATAGTTCGTTTTCCTTGTGGACGCAAGCCTTAATAACGGCACATGTTGGTTATAAAGTCTATATCTAAGTTATTAATTAGTAACAGGTTTAATATCAGGGTTCGGAATAACAATCACAAATTATGCTTTATTTTGTAGGCTACTAGGCAGTATTTTTTGTCAAATTTTTATCGGCTATTTTTCAACGAGCAAACTTGCGTTCCAGTGTAGACCGATGCAAAATTGAATGCATGTGCATATGTATTTTGTATTCTATTAAGACTTATAATATTGCTCATCAAATCTGATGCTGTTGCATGTTTGAAAACAAATGTATTCAAAGGGCTGGCCCGCCTCGTGTAACAACCGTTAAATTAAGATAGCGTTGACATTGTGATCAGTTTAATGTATAAGGTAGTTGCAGAATTTTATAAACTTCTTCTTTCTAAGGCTATGCTCATTATAATTATAATTATAATGTATGACATGTATGCTAATGCACTCGTGTGAAATTTCACTAAGGTCAACATGACTTGCATTATCCATTTCTTCATTTATTGTTAAAATTTAGCTATGCAAAACAAACTAAAAACGTATTGTGTTATTTTCTGTAGTTAGAAGTTATTGGAATACACATTGTTGATGAGTTTTCTGAATCCACCGAATGGCCGAACAGAGATGGCCGTTTTTGATTTAGCTGATATCAGAAGCGAATTAGCATACTTAAGAGTCGAAGGGCGAAAAGTTGGATTGTTGGCAATGCGATCCCCATTTGCATCTACATCCGCATCCGTATTCACTAGTAGTTGTACTTCTCCAATGTTCAGGTTTGTTTGTAGTAAAATGTTAAGCTTGAACTCGGAACTTTCTGCGTGTTGCTATTACCATTCACTTTATTAATTTCTCAATTTTGATTGGTTAATCAATTTACTTGCAAATAACTGCGTGCAAATAATTGTCTGAGCATGCGCATTAATTAAACACGTTGCTCAACTGCAAATAATACTCGGAGCATACGCATTGGCTTCAATTTTGCACTAAACAGGGCTAAAACAGGGTGGGCCGGGTGGCTTGGCGGACTTGATTTCTCAAGTTTTTCGAAAATAATTTGTCTTGCTTTCTGGCAGAAAATCATGCACAGAAACACGAGAAGCTAAACTAGAATAGTTAGAAATGTTTGCAGAAATATCTACAAGAGAAAAAGGCAACGAAAACTTTTAAATCAACAAATCAACCTCAAATAACCTCTTGATATTGTGAATGATAAAACCAGGGATATTTTCAAGCACTTTTCTACTACCGGTATACAGTAGTAAATACTCAATCTTCAATTGAGTTTTAAAACTCAATCTTCCTCCAGAATGACTTTTTTTTTCACAATTTGATTTTTTTTAATGTAAATGTTCAATTAAAAACCTGTTTATCTATATAAGTAGGGTTACAGAATTGCTAATCGCCATTATACACTGCCTGAATCAACTTCCTTTCTGTGCTAGCCAGCTGATGGCCAAACTAGATTCTGAAAATGCCATTTCCGACGATCTAGATAATTCAAAGTTTCAAAGTTTTTGCGCTCGCCACTAACGATGGTGGCGCCTCCTGGAACTCCCCCTTCCAAAATGTAAACACGTGTCTGCAATCATCAATCGCTCATGGCGCAAGGGAAGCGATGCGTTTTCAAATTCTGATGTGCTTACATATAGACGGTTTATTATGGTAAAGCCATTCGCTGTTTGGCACCATGTATGCTTGAGACCCAAAATAACTTACAAAAGGATTGCGTTCTTATTTAAACTTTACCTTTTGTAAACAAACAGTGAATTTCAACGGAAAATTTTAAAATTAACTGCAAGTACGAATTATTTGATACTATACGAAACGTACGTATAATTAAACATCTTTCAGCGTAGAAGTAAGCACCACAGAAGATGTTATTATGAGTGGATATCTTAAACGTTTACATGTATAACTGACAATATGATCAAATTTCCGTAGATGAAAAAGATGAAACATTGAAAGATTTGGTAAAGATGGCTGTGACGGAAAGCCTAGAAACAGCACTACAGGCTTTCAAAGGAAGTGTGGAGGAAGCATTGAAAAGTCACATGAGCCACCAAGGCTACATCGAAACAGCAGTTGAAGAGGCGTTGTTAAGCGAAATTCTTGAATTTGTACGCTGCATAATTTGCAAGGAGGCAACAAATCCGCCCATTGTCGTAGCCACGTGTTGTGAATCAATTATTGGCTACTACCAATGCGCAAAAACGTGGCGAGACTCTGGCAAAAATACATGTCCTAAATGTAGAGAAGAAGGCTTCAATTGCTCCACAATAAACTTAAAAGGCTTGGACAACTTTCTTCGAGGAGTCCATTATTGATACTATGTATGATTTGTAACAGTATGATTTGCGTGAACTGTGTAAACATGAACAGAACGTTATATACATGCAGTATCATGTGTTTTAAGTTTATAGTTCAATTAAGTTGGATAGTTGTCTTGTTATGTTCAGATATGCCATGACTGAGGAACAGAAATCAGTGTCCTCGTTGTTGACGTGCTTGCGATATGTTACTTCCCAGTTAATATTATTGTTATTATACTGTCGTTCTCTTTCGCGTTGCAATGTTGGCCTTGCTGACAAGGGGTCTCTACCAAAAACAGGAAATTGGGTAATGTTTCCACCCATCTGCTCATAATTCGTAACGGCGCCTCTTCACTTGTCGGAACGAATTGGTGTGAAACGTGAGATGCTCTATTGTTGCTGTTTCGTAGATTGATAGGCTTTCCAGCCCCTGTGCGGTAAAAATAGAATATGTAACTAAAATTGTACTTTACAACGGACAAGCTGATCGATACTGCCGGTTGATACTGCCAGTTCTTCGTGAAAACATAAAAATATGCAAAATTTTATTAAACCACGTAATCTGCTTGCGTGTTTAGAATTTAATTCGTACATGCATGATTAGTTAACTACCTGGAATGGAGTGGTTATTCCATGACTGAACAACCTTTTGCATGCCCACATGCGCAAATTGCAAGGTAACTGTAGAAACACAGAATTTTACATCGTCAAATTCCATATCAATTAAATTGTTCTCTTCCATTCTCCTGAGAGCATTTTTGATAGGATAGTTCACCCTGGCATTGGCTTCTACCCATATTCTCTCAATGACAAGATTCTGAAGATTAAGAAATATATAATTAATTACTGATACAATCTAAATATTTTTATCAACAAAAATATACCACAAGCGCACCTGAAATGTTTTTATTCTATAGTTAATATCTTAAGTTGTAAATGAATAACCCATTTGTCCCATTTTTGTTGTTTAATAGATTTGTATATACATTACAAGTATACATGTAAAGGTTGGGCCAGTCTTCACATTGCAGGTTCCATAACACGGATATTTTCTGAGTTCGTGAATACAATAAAATTTGCCTTAAGCCCAATCGGCCAAATACTTAATAGCGAGCAATTGGCCTTTCTCATCCTATTCTCGTTAACCAATGCAGACAATTAAAACGATGTGAAAAGCAATTTTTTAAAATAAACTAACCATTTACAAATCAAATTTACCATCATTTGTCCAAAAAATTATAAAAAGTCGCTGTTATGTGGACTTATCTCGAAGACTTCGGCTGAAATGACACCCAAAAATGGCGACGTGAGAAAGGCTAATTACCTTTTTCGATTCAGTTTCACGATGTGGATCTCGAGTGAGATTTGTTCGAAGGTGGGCCATTTTTTCTTGAACAAACAAAGTTAAGTAAAATTCTTTGCCATGCATGATCCACTCTGACTTGATCAAATAGCCCTTCTTCGATAACGGTTTTCCTTAACAATAATTTGATAATCAACTACTTGTCTGCATGCACTTTATGTTACTATCTCACTCTCAGTCTACATTTTCTATCTATATATTAACTCAACATAAAACATACGCTAACCTGAATATATCATATATCACAACGTTGTTTTTGACTGGCATGGCATGCAGGAGAATGCTGGTATATATTTGGAAAACCCATCAATCGCACATACTTGAGTCACACCATACATTGCCAGTTTTTCATTTTGGTTTAAATGGAGTTTATGACCATTATAGTCAACAGTATACGGACGTGGATTTGTTTGCCTTTCAGTTCGCGCCTGACGTTGTTGGTAAATGGGTGACACTCTATCTAGCGATTTTCTGACACGTTATTCTGATGCCATACTTGATCCGAATTTGCTATCTAGATAGCCTTTCGTCATCTTCCATATACGGGGCCTACCTTTCGAAAAACAATTAGTTTGATACATGGAATGAAATATCTTATCATTTAGGTTTTTGTGGACAATAGTACAATTTGTTAGAGAACATTTTATGTTAATTCATAAACACTTTTTATAATCCCAATTATTCCCTTCTTAAACTAAGGTCGAGTGGTCCTGGGGACAAGGATGTTAATCTTGCGAACTAACTATAATACAAGTGCATATGTTGTATGAGCGGGGCCGCTGAGAGGGGGAGGGGGCAACTTGCCCCCGCCCCAAACCTGATAAAGGGTCCCCAATTCGAGGAAAATTCTATAATGGAGCAGGGGCTCCCTTTTAACTAACAACCAACTAAATACTCAAATCAACATGCGTCTCTAAACGCATAATATGGCATTTTCAAGACACTAAATTTCCATAATGACACGATCCATAATGCTTTGGGGTACTATGTACCAAGATAAATAGAAAATTATGACGTCATATTGTTTTTGCCCTGGGCCCCGTGATTTCTATCGGCGGTCTTGTGTATGAGTACACTTAACCAGCGAGTCTGCCTGTTCAGGACCAATTTAGAACGTTCTATTTTACTAATAATTACGGCTGAGACAGCAACTCTCACTGCCCCATCAAGTTGTTGATCCGAAACAATTCCCCTCCGTCGAATGCTTTTTTCTTAACAAAAACGTTTTATACTACGAGAACTGAAACCTCGGACCTCTGGATAGTTAGTTTGCAAAACATCTGATAGATCTTCTACGGTGTTTTCCTTTTTAGACAAAAATTCTCGGATAAAACTTTCGTGCTCTTCCGAAGCAACCATGTTTGTTTTACATAAACAGGTGCATGATCGTTCCGAATTGTTCCGAACAAGGTTTTCTGATTGCCAAAAACGAAAAACGAAAAACGGAATTTGTTTCAAAATTCGTTTTTGTTATTCGGAGAATTCAAAGTAAAAAAATTCAAATTAAAATTTAGTTAAAAACATCTCCTTGTAAAGTGCGCGATTTTCTGCTCTTGGGAATTTAAAACAGCTTCTCAGTTAGACAGTTTCTTTATGCATAAAATTTACTTATGTCAATCATTTATACACTCGTGGGAACCTGCTAAGGCATTCAAATTCTAACAATTAAATTGTTATTGGTGATTTCAATAGTTTTCGGGGTTTTTTGGGACACCCTGTATATTTTTGTTCAGACAATTGTGTAATTTGATAATATGCGATCTCGCTTGACTTCCAAAGCTCAGCAAATTTGCATTCTTCTCAAGATATGAATCACGAAAACACTCAAAAAGCACAATTGTAATCGATGGACCGTGTGCCTCTAATGACCCCGAAGAGAACCAAACGCCGGATCAAAACAATATGGATATATAAACAACCGCAACCAGGGTTGCCAGATTGCTGAATAAATAAGCCAAACATTATTATAATAACCTTTTGTTTTCTTTGTTGGAGACAAAGACATCAAAGGGCCGCTTATAACAATGTTTGGCTTATTTATTCAGCAATCTGGCAACCCTGACCGCAACTCCAAATAAGCCATTAACTTCAACTCAAAATTTAACGGCAAAGCCGGCCAACAACGAAAGCCCAATTCTTGTAATCGGTGACTCGATCATTAAACGTATCGACCCTAGAAAAATATCTAAAAGAAGAGTTATTAAACGCACCTTCCCTGGTAAAACTGCCAACGATATAAAAGCCGAAATTAAGTCTATCAAAGTCGACTCACCACCTTCGCATATTATCGTTCACGCAGGGACAAACCATATACCCATGGATCTAGATAACAACTACATTAAGAACATATGGAGCCTGGCGTCAAGCATCAAAGAAAGATTTCCAGGTTCAAAAATCGGAGTATCAAGCATCGCAGTAGGACATGATGCTGACCTAACCGACCGAATCTCTGCGGTTAATAAACAGCTTCAAGAGTTATGCGTCAAGAACGGTTTTGACTTTATTAACAATAGCAATGTGGATAACACATGCTTAAACGGAAGCCAATTACACCTTAACGCCAAGGGTCTGCCTTCTTGGCAACGAACTTCATTAAGTTTTTACGAGGAAACAACGCAAACGTAAAGTAAAGTTACCGAAGTCGTGGAAATGAGGATTTTCGCCGAACTCGGCCAGCTCGATTTCATATCTTGGAGGATCTGCGGAGACTGATGTCGATCTCGTAACGGAAAATTTAAAAGGTAGCTGGTGTGACCACATTAAGTCAGATAAAACTAATATGATTAACTGTCAACTAAGTAAGCTAAAGTCCACTAAAGGATTCAAAATGGCAAACTTAAACATTAATAGCCTATTGAAATCTACTGATCAGCTTAGAGCAATTATGGTTAATACACCGTTAGATATTTTATCTATAAATGAACGAAAATTGATGACTCTGTGCCAGACAATGAAATAAGTATAACTGGATATCATCTAATTAGAAAAGACAGAAATAGACATGAAGGGGGGGGGGGGAGGTGCTTATGTATATCCGTGAGTCTATACCATTCTCTGAACGAAGTGACTTAGTACCTACCTCGTTAGAGATGATTTGTGTTGAAATCGGTAGATTACATAGTCGGTCTTTTTTAGTAAATTCTTGGTACAGACCGCCTAATTCTGAATCTTGTTTATTTGACGAATATAAAATTTTTCTCCAGAAATGTGATTTGGAAAACAAAGAATTAATAATTATGGGAGATGTAAATTGTGACTTTTTAAAATCTCCCCCCGATGCCCATACTCGTAAATTACAATTTCTGTCCTCACTTTATCAGTGTGACCAGTTAATAAATGAGCTACAAGGGTAACAGGATACGTAAAACCTGTTGTCGTTTGAATATACTTTTAGCTAATAATAATATAAATAACAACTTGAACAAGAATACAAATAGTATAGGGTCACGAAAACAGTCCAAATAATGCCATAAATATGCATGAGTAGTTCTTCTAAAACGATAACAGTGTTTGATAGTTATTTTTTTGTCAAGAACGCATCCTAAATAAACTATCGTATCTATTCACTTGTGTTCGGTGGTCAAGCTCTTTGTGATTTTCGACTTGTATCTTTTTGGCTGGAAAACGCACGAAAGGAATAATCCATAAATACACACAACTCAAGCATGAAAAGCTTACCAACTCTTTACTCCGTGTTGCTGGTATTGGACTTTCTCGCCGACAAAATCTGCAGATGTATAAACTGTCGTTTGACCTTTGTGCAGTTATATTATATATCGCTTTTCGGCGTTCTTTTTTGGCCCGGGAAAACGAAAAAACGTTACTATAGGTCACCATTTGAATTCCTAATCATTCGTTGTGGGTAACGTGAGTCATTTTTACTTGTACTCCACGCACATCTTTTCGTAGCGACCATGTTGAATATACTCTGAGACTGTTGTATGTTCAAACAATTTAAGCTTGTCCGAACTCGTGGTATTTGTTTACATTTTTGGTCACTTGTTGCTTCACGTGTCTTTAGGGTCGAAAAGGCGAATTTATTTAGGGCGAAAAAATGTGCATATATTTCCGCACTTTGTTTACGGCGGGAGAATAAAATATTGCGAGTTCCCGCGTTTTAATTTATACAAAGCACTCCTTTGGCTCACGTGTTTCACTTGGATAACGATACTTTACCTCGCATACAACAGCATGGAAGAGGGTAATTTGCATGTAACGCAAGATGTAATTTAATCGTTGGTCCGGGGGATAGTTGGCGAACTATTTGTCCCAGACACTAGGCCTAGGCAAGATCAGCAATTAGGTGCCACTGAAGAGTGAAATAAACCACCGAATTTGCTTGCCGAGAACTAGTGAGAATATTCGTTGGCGTTTCATCAAAAAATGGTGTTTTGTCAAAATGACAAAATATTTTACTAGACTATAAATATTTTTGTAAATACAGGGTGTATAAAAAAAAACGCAACCTCGGAATTTCCTAAGAAATCACTTTGCAATTCTTAAGCATAAAAGATTTTAGGCCCCAGGGAATTGAAATCGGATGCATAAATTTTGCTTTATGCACTCGCGTGTGCAGTAATTTTGACGGTTGTGCTATTTTAAATTCCCAGGCGTCTAAAATCTTTTGTCTTTCAAACAATGTGGATTTCTTGGGAAATTCCGAGGTTGCGCTTTTTTCGATACACCCTGTATAATTTCCATGAACTGATGAAAAATTTAAATTAACTCAAACTGGGAAATTTTGACCAGTTAAATAAATACATTTACCCTTTCTCAATTCCCACAAGTTAGTTCTAAAGCTTCTATGAATAGGAAATAAATAGCTATTAAAGATCAATTATTTTGCTATTTATTAGTTATTTTAACAGTAGCTCTAAAAATAAAAGTAAACATAGTTTAAAACAAGACGCTCTATAGAGCATTAACTAGCTGGGGCTATACAAATACGCACATTACTGTACATGATACATACAGTACATAGCTATTTCCATTAAGATTTAAGGTTGTCCCCGAGCTAAGCGGAAAAGTCAAATACGAGCGCGAAAGGCTTAACATAGACCACAGTATTAAATGCGGTCCCTACAAATAAAATTTCCGGCGTTTCCGCATACAAGTAAAGTTATATTTATTACGCTACATTCTTCTGTCCGCCGCCAGTTGGTCCGCAGGCTAGGATTAAACTGTGCTTTAAAGCGTTCGAAATAAAATATTTGGGGGCTTTTGGGCTCAAAATACTATTAAAATGAAGAGAGAAGTGAGACGAATCCACTGGTATACGGCCGAAAATGAGAAAACCAACGATACGAAAGTTATCAAGGATCAAACGTACTGCATTTTTCAAAATTAGTTTAGTTTAATAATTTTTGAGCAATTTGTCAACAATACAATTTCGCTTGGCTTTCAAAGACAAAGGCCATAAATCGCTAGAATACTGTCATTTAGTAATACATTTGCCATCCGTAATTACAATTTCCTACGCTGAATCAAACGGTGGTATTTTTATTCTTATTGCGCCATTAGGCAATACAAATACAAAGACAAACGTACTGCGAGTGATTTGTCAACAATACGTACTGCAAGCGATTTCTCCAATACAATTTCACTTCATTTTCAAAGGCCATATATACGTGTTCCATTGCACTCTTGGGAAATGGAATTTTCTATTCAATATCACGTGACCATAAACAGCCAATTAAACGATTAGAATTTAATAAGGTATTATATAAACTAGAATATATCATATTCACACTTGAGTTTTCACGTTTACACAGCTAACTATTAGCCAGAGACTGTTGTTGTTGGATACATTTTATATTGATATGACACCATTATGCTTCCCATAAAGTAGTTATCTATTAAAACTACGTTGTGTAGTTTAAATTATAACCTTTTACCTTGAAATAGTCTTTGGCTCATTTATATTCAGATTCAGTACATTATGATCGTACACGGGAATAAAACGATCCAAATTTCCGATTTTCAGAGTCGTGCAGCAAGAAAAATACATTAACTAAACCAGCAAGAATGTCCAGAGTTAGACACAATGCAAAATCCATAGAAAACAGGTACAATTCGTTGAAAAGTTTAACGAAATTGATTGAAACATTTTGCCCACCCCACGAAAGGCCGCCATTTTGAAAAGGATAAATAGGCAGCTCATTAATATTCTATTTTATGACTGTCGACGATTGGAGATTCACCACAAATGCATGCCAAAACCTATACTCGTCTGGGGCACACTGTCCATCTATTCCGGGGTTATTTTTAACACTTTATGTACCAATACAGGTACGCGTGCTACTAGCTATAATGCTTAATACGCACATTTATATTCACGTCTAATATCATCATCGCGCTCTTCCTTGTGAAAAATCTGCGGAAATTTACTCAAAAGTTACATGCTGTCTTTGGAATGATGCAAAAGGCCATAATTACGACAAACCTGGAACCGAACTATTCAGAAATATTCTGTTTGTGAGTCGAGTAGGTTTAAGTCTCACCTCACAACATATCAAACTGCGGAGAAAGACAAATAAATATGCATTGTTTTCGCCTTTTACAACTTATACTTGAGAACTGGGGCCATTTCCAAGCTTAATTTCATTTGCAGTATAAGATTTATAGCACAGTTCATAAAGTAGACAGTAGTCAAATTTCAAACGTCTCAAGTTACACGATGCTCACTAACGATTCTCGGTCTAAAACGCTGATTCGCGTTACTATAAATTTTACTTATCTTACATTTTATATCCATATGGGTACAAGAGACCATTTTTGTTAATTACAATCGCTTAACTTTCCAGATATCCGTTTTTAAGTTCGTTTTTGAACGAAGCTCGCTACAAAACTTTAAATAAATCTATATCTCATTGGCTACTTTAGCACAGAAAGTGAGAATCGTTGCTAGAAAATCATTCGTATCTTAGTCAGTTCCTTACGAAAACTTGTAAAATCGTGCTATCTTGTAAAATATGTTGGACTTTAAATGCTTAGGTGAATTTGTTTGATATTGTCTGCTATTAAGGCTTTTATGGCGCATGAGCCCATGGAAATATGGCGAGATTCGTGATGAGATTCGTTTCTATATTGATCTCATTGTCACATATAGCCTACGCGTTTAGTTACGCTAACAAGATGGCTCAGTTGTCAATTTTCTTTAAATAGAGTCCCAATACCGTTACCATGCATGGAATTCAATGAATTGTGACTAAAATATAGCACTACAAGCCTTTAAATCTGATTTTAAATATACGAGATTTTGCAGCCAGATTTTAGCTATTTCCTAACACATGCATACGCAAACATTGTATAGCACAGTACACGAAAATTATCCGTGTGCAACGAAATTGCTAAAGGACCTAAAAGAGGTTGAGAAATTATGAAAATATAACTGCGTACACAGCTTGATGATGTCTACAAGTTGAATTAAGTTAAATTTAAGAGTAATGGTATTACTTCAACAGACTGTAGTTTAAAAATAGCTATTTTATAGCTATTTTGAACAAAGTTTGCCAGAACTTTCTATGAATAGGAAATAAATAGCTGTTTAATAATATTAAGATCTATTTATTTTGCTATTTAATAACTATTTTAAGAATGGCTCCAAAGAAGAGAAGCAAACATAGTTTAAAAATTAGCTATTTAAAACTATTTTAACTGACTCGTTTGTTATCAATAGGAATTAAATAGCTATTTAAACGCTATTTTATAGTGAGATTCCGTCAATTATACTTTTTCAAATAGGATTTTAATACCTATTTCAAAGCAATTTTTTTGAAAAAATATAAATAACCTATATTTTAAATAGAGTGTATATAGTCATATACTATTTTATGAAATTCGATAAATAGTAATGAAATAGTCATATGTTTAAAAAAATACGGAACAAATAGGGCTAAATAGAGAAAAAATAGGTCACTCTGAAATAGGTTATAAATATGTTGGATTCTACAAGGGTGTATAGTATTCCAAAGGTCGTAGGTTCGATTCCCACAGAGGCGCCGGAGAATCGATAATAGCGGGGGCAGATATTCATATATTCGTGTTCACAGACTGTAAAAACAATCGATTTCAAAAGAAATTAATTGGGCAGAACACGAATATATGAATATCTGCCCCCCCCCC